ATTCAATCCTTCTTCTGACCTATCCTGGTCTTCACATGTCTTAGAGATTTCTTAAAGAATATTTCGTCTGACTTCTTACATTCAGAAGTGAAGGCACTCAGGCATAACCAAACCCCTCCTCTTACAGTTTGTCAACTTTTGCATCTTATTTATTCTTCTTTATAGTTCACCCTTATTCTTTCCTGGCTTGCTTAAAAAAGACTATGTCATACTTAGTAGAACTCTGAAGACTGTCGGTAGGGCAATTGACATCTCATTTGGCCATATCTTTGACATCATCATTGATACGCACTTTATTTCATGCAAAAAATTTGCTAAAGGGATTTTATCAGACTGTGGGCATCCACTTTACCCGCAGCTTTCACCTTGTGTCTTCTCAGGTAAAACAAGAAGTCATTTCAAAAGCGTCTATGCGCGCACGTCTAAGTATAAAATTTCCACGATACCATATTTGGCACATATTTTATGTGATGAAAATAGTTTCAGAGATGAACTGACGAACCTTCATCGCACTGATAAATAAGCCATTTTCTCCATCCTTATTCCACCATGCTTTACTGTTATTATTATTCTTATATTCATAATCCTTTCATTTTTGTTTTCATTTTCTCATGATTGATAACATCATTTAAGCTGTATAAAATTTTTATTTTTGTGTTTTCCCCCTCACAATGCTATATCAAGAGAACATCAGATTCGATACTCTAAAACATGCTGAAATTCTCATACTATAATATTTGAAACAAACCCACTGTTATTATTATTAGACTTATTAATGCCATTTTGTACTTTGCACATTTTTGACTTTATTCCTACTGTAAATGTGGACAAATCCCTGAGGTTAATTTTATTGATATTTTGAGTAAATTAGATGCAATATTGTAACAAATGCTGAGAATTCCATTCTGTATTATAAGTACTGTTTTTGGAATAAAGCAGATTATAATTATAACTATTATTTTATACCAACAAAGAGGAATTCGTACGCATAAATTGAGTAAAATCATCCCATTATGGTTGTTTAGTGCAAAAAAATGTTTATTAGCACATTCAGTAAAGTCAGTCTGTGACGTAACACACTTAACTTTTGCACTTTCCTTGTGTATTCTATCTTTGATTGGTTGGTGGATTTCATCATGAGCTGACATCACTTAGAGAACCATCGGAAAATCAGCTCGGAATACTAAACAGCTGTTTCGTCCTAGTTTAGAAATCTCCACAGAACACGCTCATGCCAGAGTTCTAACTCAAGACCTTCTGGCTACAAGGTGAGCTCTTTGACCACTGAGCCACTGAGACCTGATCCAGTAGGGTTCAGCAGGTTGAAGGTGAGGCAGTAACTCATCGAAGAGAACATTGCGTAGTGGTAACGCTATGTCATGAATTGGCAGAAATTAGAATTCATGGGCTGGTCATTGGATCGAGTCCCAGTTGCTCAATGGTCTACGAGCTTGCCTTGTAACCAGAAGGTCCTGGTGGTGGGTGCGTACTGATGAAGAGTCCTAAACTAAACTGACAAAAAGGTTGTCCATTACTCCTAGGTTTTCTAGTGGTTCTCTAACTGATGTCACCTCATGATAAAATCCTCCAACCAATCAAACAAAATCCCCACAAAACCAATCCCTGAAAATTATTCTACTGTTGACTACTGACAGTAGCTGTCATTTGAGTAAATTTTACAGATACATTGGGATGATTGCATCAGAATTCCAGCTCACCTATAATCTCAGGTGTCTACACGGATGACTTTTAGTCATCCATGATTATCATCAAATTCTAAGAAGTGAATACTTTTCACCATGAGCTCGTTTCTTTGAAGTTTAACCAATCTGAGTCGTTAATAAAGCTAATTGTATTTACACGCTTGAAGAAAAGAAATGCAATCAACTCCGTTTTTTTACAATAATGTAATTTCATTTCATTACCAAATTAAAGTTAAGTAGAGTTAATTCATTTGCAAAGTTTATTTTTAGAAAAACTAGTGAAATTACAAATCGTTCGAATAAAGATAATGTAATATTTTAAGCAGAAACTTAAAATGCAAAGTAATCAAGGAAATTTCGTTAGCTATATGTAAAATAAATACTTGTTTTGGAATTTTTATTAAAATACCAGGTAGGGTGCAGCAGGTCTCGTGTGAGGACAAATACTCGCCGAAGACATTGGCTAGGGGTCGCGCTATGTTGTGAATTGGCAGAAGTTAGAATTCATGAGCCATTGGATCGGGTCCCAGTGGCTTAATGGTATACGATCTCGCCTTGTAACCAGAAGGTCCTGGGTTCGATCCCCTGTTGGTGCGTACTGTGAAGAGTCCCAAACTAGGACGAAACAGCTGTCCAGTACTCCCAGCTGACTTTCCGATGGTTCTCTAACTGACGTAAGCTCATGATGAAAATCCTATAAAATACCAGGTAATTTAACAGAAAAGCAATTATGAATAAGAAAAAAGTGTTTAACAAAGATTCAGTTCAGTTGAAGTCAACAGCTCGTAATCACTACTGGAATAAATAGTCATGTGATGAAGCTGTAATTTCCATCTTTAAACGTTAGGCAGGCTTGATTGAAAATTCATTAGAAATCTGAACAGAATCTTTTAAAGACCATTTCAACGGCTGTCAACTGTCCTCTAAATGATGATTAGTCATAATATTGATGTTGTATATTTATTTCATGGGTATTTTATTTAACTTATGACCAATGAATAGTCTGAAGGCAAAAGTTTCGTCTTCTTAGTGAACATATTGAATGCAGAGCCGTTTGTGATGACATTTAATACTTTTCAAACCCAAACAGAGGATCAAGTGATTATCAGGTTACAAATACAAACCGAATTGATGGGGATGTTAGAACCAGCCAAGATCGGATAACAGAAGTAAGACACGCGTTCATTCCTCCAGGGAATGTGGAGAATTCAATGGGTGTGCTTAAATCACTGCTATAGAATTTGTAGGAAGAGCGGAAGATACCTACTTATTTAATTTTGCTAACTTATCTTTTCACTCCCTACCCTTTATTTTTCGCTTGAGTCTCTTAAGAGATAATTTTTCCTGATCTTCTGAGTTCTGCTCACTGTATTACATCATCAAATTCTGATCTGACCTCATGTGCACCGAACATTTTGATCTTCTCTTACCTAATTACGTAACTACTACTAACTTTCTTTTGTTGCCACCCCAACAACACAACTGTTAAATTATTTTTTTCAAGAAACTTCTCTCTAAAAAGATATATATATATATATGTCGTAACACTTTAGGTTCCTTGCAAATCGCAACACCTTATTTCACTATGACGCTCTGACAGTTTGCTTGCTAATGGACAAAAGTTTGTTAAAATTGTACACTTTTTAATTTTATTAAATAATTCAGGTTGTACACAGCTGATGAGAACCGACAAAATAAAATGGATCCAGATTACTCTGCGCCAATGTTTCTTCTTTCTTTGTTCAAATTTATAAAAGGGAATCATTGTATGATATTTAAACATTGTCGAACAGCCAATCAACTGCCAGTTAAGCTTATGAAACAACCAGCATAGAATCATGCTACTGTCTACTCCAAGCACAATGTCAGACCATATCATGAATAAATTAAAAGATGCTCTGAATGAGAAAATCCACACGGGAACAGACTCGATTCAAGTCAAGCAAATTATGCACACATCAAACTGTGACATTATTCATCATCATCGAATGCAACGTGAAGTGGCAGTCAACTCCATAACTCAACTTCATCAACTCTGAAACAGAATTAGGCGGCGTTAACACTGAAGTGACTTGGCCACCGCTTCAACGCTACTATGTTCAGCCACTTTTAAACCTTACTCGACAGATACATCGTAGCACCACATTTCAGTTGATTCACAATGGAAAGCTGTCGAGTTGAAGAAGTGAGTATGACAACGTTGTCTGTCATCACCTGTGGTCTCCCTAACTGTCATGAACTGGACCATGTATCAGACCATGAGTAGTGAGAAAATGAGCAGACGTCGCATCGACAAAAAAATCCTACGAGGTCTGCATTTGACTGACGATTTATGCGTCATGTCACGAGAGCTCGAAGATTTACAAAAGAAAACCAACAAGTCGACAGATGGAGGTGCTGAGGATTTCGTGATAACAAGATGGTTTAGGAATGAATGTTAGGCAGCCTGATTCCAAATAAGGTTTGAACGCATGTAAATGTCAAGACTAGCTATGACTGGACAGGAAGAGTAGGACAAGAGTTCAATGCTCTGAAATCAGTGTGAAGATCTAAATCACTTAGCACAACGAACAAGATACGAATTTTCAGAAGTAATGAGGAATCAGCGCTTCCATATTATTAAGAATCTTGGATGCGCCACGGGAAGCATTTCCAAAAGACTGTAGACCTTTATCAACAGCTGCCTTCGTCAGCTACTGAGGATCATATGGCCAAATGGAAAGGACAAACAACAAGAAACTCTGACAACGAATCAACCAGGAACTTATTGTCCATCAAATATGGATGAAGGAAATCGAAGTGGGCTGGGCATACCCTCCTAGAGAATGGTTAAAGTTTCAGATTCAGTTACATTTATTTAGGGAAATCTAAACAAAATAAAGAGCGTGAATACCAACCTATCATGCTAACTGCTACTATCTGAAATCATCAATAGGTCTTACACAACCATTAAGCTTCACCAGGAAATTAATGACTGTTTCTATTTATATGAATAGCAGAAAAATGGGAAAACTAAATGCGTTTTTTGATTATGATTTATCGTCAAGAGGCAGGTGATAATATTGTCTAACAAGTAAACCATTGAAATACAACACTTTTAAACTGAGATTTACTTACATAAGACAGTTACGTTGTCATTAATATAATCAGATTTATTCTTTGGATTCTGATTACCAATAAAGATTCATCATTTTCGAAATCAACCAATCGCTTAACAGCACATGTTCATTCTACTACCTGATTGGTTCATCGTGCCGATATACATATATATTTATCATCCTAAGCTTATTAGCGTCGTTCAGATTGAAGTAGATTTTGCAGAGAGTACACTAATTTAGAAACATGTTTTGCTCATTGTACAGAATACTTTGGCATTTATATTCCCAAGAGAAATTTATTTTCGATATTTCTTCATATTTACATTTAAAACACTATTGATGAGGGAATGTATTTTTCACAGTTTTATGGCAGAATACTTCTTTAATCAGTTAAAAATTTTTGAATATTTAACATTTACTCTGGAAAATAAGAAGCTAATTAGTACAACTACAAATAAGTCAAATCTAATTGTTATTTTTATCAAGTTCATAATAAGCTTAAAAATGTTGTACACAACATCATTGATGAAATATATTCCAAAAACTTTTAACAAAGTGGATCAAGACAAATACATATTCTCTTCAACACCAGATATACCTCGTGATACAAATCGTAGCCGAGATATTTTCAGTTTAGTAAAGAAACGTTCAGCACAAGAAAAAGAGGTTTGTCCACGTCATAAACTTTATCATCATGATCCACAATGTCATCACTATCATAATCGTTTTGAACAGCATCACCGGAGTAGTAGTAACCGAAATGCTAACTGTCAACAACAAATTTGTGTTGGCCGTGCAGCCAGCACGTCTAAATCTCCATTAGTCAATAGAAAATCAATAAGTAAACAACTTTCTTTACCAAATGATTGTCGAGATGAAGAGAACTCATTTTATTCCTCAAACACATGCCTACGCAGTAGATCTTATTTCGATGATAAAACTGAGCCTGAATTAAGCATACATGATAAAGAAGCTCACTCAAATAGTAGTATATATGACGTAAATGAATGCTCAACAAGACCTACATCCTGCTACTTACCTGAATACCAGTTAGGACTAAGTAAAATATGTCACACGCCATTGAGTCATGCAAAATCTTTTGGAGGGATAAATACAGACGTTACATCACCTACCGAATGTCTCTCCAGTCCTATTTTATCATCAAATCAATCACAAATAAAATATATTGACGAAAAAGATACAAGTGGACTATTTGATGATGTAAGCAAGCATTCATTCAATGACCGATTGCTATACTTTCCCACGATAAATAATCGTATAATGTCAACAAGTTCTTCAAAAGGGCTCCTCTATTCAAAGATAAATCAAACAGATACAGTAACTGACCACCCCAGTAATACTGTGATTAACACAAATAGTGTAATGCCTAAAAAAGAGTTGAAATTTGCTGTACCTGATTTTTTAACGCCTATTATTGACCGTCGGCCTTCATCAAATCGAGTGAATGTCAAACAGCTAAGTGAGACAACAGTCAATCTTGACGATAAAATTATGAAAAGACGAAGAACCATGAAAGAACGCTTTAAAGATTTACAAACAGATTTTGATAGCAAAAAAATGTGGCATAAATTAAATAAACTGCATAATTCCAAACATGCTAAATATCTGTCCAGTGCACGATCAGGGTCAAGTATGCTAATATCAGCAGATGACACTGAACATAAAGAGTCACCTTCACGGTCTAGTAATACTTCATGTGATGATTGTCGACGAGTGACAATAAATGTTAGCGGTTTGAAGTTTGAAACATGGCTGACTGTTCTTGAACGTCATCCAACAACCCTACTTGGCAACTGTGATAAACGCAAACCATTCTATGATGAATATCGAAAAGAATACTTTTTCGACAGACATCGACCAAGTTTTGAGGCAATTTTTAATTATTATCAATATGGTGGCAGACTTAAACGTCCAGCCACAGTGTCAGATGATGTCTTTCTTGCAGAGTTGGAATTTTTTCAAATCGAGTCAGAAGCTTTAGATGTATATAAGAAAAATGAAGGTTATGTGCCAGATATTATTGTTTTACCAGAGGATCATTTAAAACGAAAGTTATGGATGTTATTTGAATATCCAGAAACATCAGTACTGGCGTTTAGTTTTTCCATAGCATCTTTTATTTTCACTGTAATTTCTATTATATTATTTTGTATAGAAACATTGCCTGTCTATTCTCAGACACACTGTGAGCCTGGAGCTAGACCAAATTTTCGTGATCCATTTTTTATTATTGAAACATTGTGTACATTATGGTTTACTGTAGAAATTTTTATACGATTTTTTAGTTGTCCAAGTCAAAAAGCATTTATCAAGGATATTAAAAATTTAATTGATTTAGCCGCTATTGTACCATATTATATTACATTGTTCAATGTTCTAATAACATTCAGTTGTGAAGGTGCAAAAAATAGTGCCAGTTTAGCATTTCTACGCGTTATACGTTTAATTCGTGTATTTAAATTAACAAAACACTCATCTGGTCTACAGGTTCTTGTGTTAACATTTAAAGAAAGTGTAGAAGGATTAAGTTTATTTCTTGTTGCATTTATTGTTTGTATTTTAGTATTTTCAAGTACAATTTATTATGTTGAAATTGATAGAAAAGGCTCTCAAATTGAAAGTATACCAGATGCATTTTGGTGGGCTGTTATTACAATGTGTACAGTCGGTTATGGAGATAAAGTGCCAAAAGGACCATTAGGTAAAGTTGTCGGTAGTGTATGCGCTGTAGCTGGAGTACTTACTCTGGCTATACCAGTTCCTATTATTACAGAAAATTTTAATAAATTTTATGCACATAAAACCGGTCGAGGAAGAAGATGATGCAATTGATTTTTATCTTTTTTTATATTCATCCTCAGCATTGATTACTCTTGTAGGATTTCTTCACCTTGAACAATATATCTTTCATTTCATACACTACACATACCATCATTATTCATTCGCGATTAAACGAATGCTATTCATTGAATCTAATTACTCATATGGACTAAAGACTGAACTTAATCCAAGATTTATTCATGCTCCATTGACAACTTAACACATATTACTACATTTTAGTATGTATAATGACATAATATCATCTTGAAGAAGAATTAACAACTGTAAGTCAATTTTTTCTCACCATTATCAACAAAGTTTATTACAATTTCTTCATAAAAATCAATTTATTGCTCAGTTTAGACCATTCGTAGATGAAATTATTATTATTATCAAACAGTAAATGAACATACCACTCATATATATATGTATATATTTAATCCTTTTTTCTCGTTTCTACTTTCTCTCTTTTTATTTCCTATTTCCTACACTTTTGTTCAATATTCAATGGTTGAACATTGAACAAATCTTCGACCTACAAAAATTGTATATTTATTGACAATAATTGCCTGTTTTAGATAGTTTTTTGTACATATATATCTATATAAATGGATTAAGGTAGAAAGAAGTTATCATAATAAACAAAACAGAACTATTTGTAATGTAGATTTATTTTAGATGAATACAGAATTGCTAAATATTTTTTTATATACATACAATTACAAAATTCATGTAGATATTTTTGTGCATAAAACTTTTCTCAAAATATTAATACGTCCAGTAGTACTTTATAAATACATTAAAAATATCACTAAACATTACCGTATCATTGTTTTACAAAGGTGTTGTAGACTACTATATTCCTTAGTTGTCCACTTGTAGGAAAGTAATCTCTCAGCGGATGTATGCGGTAGTTTTGTTTCGTGAACACCAGAGACGAGTCAAGAAGATTCTGATAAAGTAGGAGAATGTTTTACAAGTTTTTCTATTGTTTCCCGTCTATTCTAGGAGAATTATTATATGAATCATTGGTTTTCTTTGAGGGCATAGTTTACGGAAACAGTATAAAGTATGACATGATAATATTTTCAGTCCTACGCTTAGTTTACTAATCACGGATAACACCAAATTCATGTTAGTAAGTAAGGTGTGAGTTGTTTCAGAATTAATTCTTTTATTATAGAATAAACTGTATTGCCTTATATGTGACAGATTAGTGTATTGTTCATGATTTTTAATATTTTTGGATGCAAAGTTCCTATTTTTTGAAATCCATGAAGAATAGATTAATTTAGAGTAATGGACAATTAATAGAAAACTGTAGTTACAAATTTGTTGAGAACTGATTTTCTGGAAATGTGTTCAGTGATACTGACATTAATCAAAAAACGTTATTTAAAGGAGAGAATTAAGAAAATGTTATTTCTACTTGAACTGAAACCGATTCTGCTCAGAGAACACTGATATCACGAGGTACAAACGCTTCATTTCATTAGGAAAATGAACTAACTGAAATACAACAGTCCTTTCATTACATGTTTTACGTGTTCACTGTTCATAAGATAACTTTATTTGCATTTGTTCATTTTAAATCATAAGTGGCTTTCAGATCGTTTAATGAGAAATTGGCGTAAGGATTTGTGTACTTTGTGGATTTGAATTTCGTTACCTACCAGCAGGTAATGAAATGTAATAACGTTTAGATTCTATTCTCTCTCTTGTCTGGAAATACACTGTACAAGGAACTCTTCAGCTGATTTTAATAGATTATCCCCCATTTTCGTAATATCAGTCTTTTCATATTCAGTATGCTGACAATATACATGCTTCTCATACTTATACCAATGAAATTATTTACAAACAGTTAAACTGTGAAGAGGAGGACTAAGTAATTAGGTGAGATTAGGATGGACAGCAGTTCTAATGTGGCAGCGTAGTACTAAAATACAAATCGATAGAAACTACATAAAATCAACGTTAGCAACTATAACTGTAACACTGTCTGTCAAAAACCCATCTCATAAGCTTAAACGTTTTGTACATCTGTACTAAACAGACAAACGATTTAGAAAGCATTAAGTTCTTAGAATTTATCATTGTCTATTCCTGGACAGAAAGCATTAGAAAATTTTAACTTTTACAATGATATTCTTTTAAATACACTACTTGGAATAACTCTGTTAGAGGTTCCAAGGGAATACCATAGACGAAGCTCTCAGTCCTACTACTACTAATAATAATATAAAGAATGGCATTACATTCATTCACCATAATGAGCGTACTTCGGTATGTTATAAGCACTTCAGCCATACATCTGGTCAGTTTACACGAAAGTCTGAATTGTAAGGAAGTAGAAAAAGTATATTACAAAACCGTTTACTGGTCGTTAAAACTGTCGTAGATAAATTGAAACGGTCAGACTGTATTCTCATACAGACGGCCAACCAATCACTCTAATATTATAAGATAATAGAGAAGATTTGTAGCTGAGTTCGTTGATTTAATCGCGAATCTTTATCTGTCCTTCTAGAGAGCGTCTCGAAAGCAAGCGTTAATATAAAGTGAACCTGTTTGAATTTTTCATGAATGATATAATTATATCTCCTAACAACCACTGTCATGATTGACTGTCATTTTAGATTGTTCATTTTTATTGACTTGGAATTTGAACTTCCTTGTCATGTGATTTATTTTTTCTTAGTTGGTAAATTTTATCTATGGTAATGTGTTTGTTAATTGCTGATTTATGAGAGTACCAGGCTTCTAGAAATTCCCTGGCACTTCTGGTGTTTCGTCTATTTAAGATTTCTATATTCTTCCAATCAAATTGGTGTCCCTGAAAATCTGCGTGCATTGATATGAAAGAATACACATCATGTCTTCTTACAGGTAGTTTATATTCTTGGAATCTGATACGATGGAGACGCTCACATTGACCAATGTAGTATTTTTTTGTAGTTTATGCAGTTTATTTTGTAAATGGTGTTCATCTTATATTCTTTTTCTGTTGGATCTTTTGATCCGCAAAATATCGAATGAAGTGACTGTGTTGGCTCATGTGAAGAATTCAAATAAGTTCATTATATATTAGATTTTACTTTGATAAATCACAGAGTGTTACGCAGTATTATTAACTGATGACTTTTCGAGCACAAATTATTGCCGCTCATAATCATATCAAGTCACTCACACAACTTTCTTGCTTCATTTATATACATGAGTGGAATTGATTAGACATTTGAAAAAAATCACTATAAGATAAAGTACATTCAGAAACAATATGAGTGTTATTCGTCAAATACAATCAGATGGGAAATTAGGCGAGTGTTTGAATGTTATAATGTATGTGAATTGAAATAGAATTTTAAGATTTTTATTATTCTCCTCTGATTTGACTGGTGGTAATAATATATAAGGAGGGGACATCTGAGACCCTAGTTAGGATTCTCAATAAAGCAGGAATTAGGGTGGCATTCAAACCTACAAACTCACTCAGAGACAAGCTCTGTAGGCTAAAAGACCCGGAGGACCCAATTAAACAAAATAATATAATTTACAAAATATCTTGTCATGACTGTGAGTTAAGTCAACTACATAGGTCAAACTAGTAGTTCGCGGGTAGTCAAATTGCTGGAACATAAGAATTTAGCTAAGGTAAGAGTGGTTGACCCCGAGAAGATAAGTAATTTAGAAAAAAGCTCAGCGATTGCACTGCATGCATTAACACACAACCACACAATAGGGTGGGAGAGGGTTAAAACTCTAAGAAGTAATCTAGGTAGGTGGAGAGAGAGGTTCATTATGGAATCCTTGTTCATTGAGTCTACACCCAACAAATGCAGCAGAAATGACTCAATGCAATTACCAGAGATATGGATGACATTATTACCACCAGTCAAATCAGAGGAGAATAATAAAAATCTTAAAATTCTATTTCAATTCACATCCATCATAACATTCTAACAAGCTACTTATTTTGATTATAAAAACATCTTATTTCCCATCTGACTGTATTTGACGAATAACACTCATATTATTTCTGAATGTACTTTATCTTATAGTGATTTTTTTCAAATGTCTAATCAGTTTTTACTCATATATATAAATGAAGCAAAAAGTTGTGTGAGTGACTTGATATGATTATGAGCGGCAATAATTTGTGCTCGAAACATCATCATTTAATATTACTGTATAACACTGTGTGATTTATCAAAATAAAATCTTATCTATAATGGAGTTATACTGTACCACAGTGTCCAAGTTTTATGCTTATATCAAATAAGTTGATTTCATACCTTAAAACGAATAACGAAATCTTCGAATTTAACTTAACCAGCTCAGAGAACACAACTAAGTCAAAACTCTATAATATTATCCTTGAGTTTCGTTAAGACAGCACTTAAGTTTAAGAAGTAAAGATAATCAGACAATGTATCACTTGCTGACAAGTTAAAACATTTAAATATTCAACTACAGTTTAATATATAAACGTCATATTGATTAAAAGAATTTTCTGTCATTTAATAAATGTATCATTTGTGTTTATATTTTCTTTTTGGAGACATTGTTTTATTCGAGGACATCCTTTCATTGTTGAACAGAAAGGATGAAATGTAGCTTTAGGATATGTTATCATAACAAACATTTATACTTAGATTATACTGTTTAATATTTTTTGTTTGATTTTGGATGAATATCAGGTAAGCATTGTTTCTTATTCATTCATACGTGACAGAGGAAGGACAAGATGTATATATATATACATATACTTATAAGGTTATTGACCGAAAGAATCTTGAAGTGCTTGCCTATCATCTATTCACTGCACATGAAAAAGTTAACCAGTGAAGATAATGAGATGAGTAAAACTCTTTCACAAAGTTAACTGATTAGGTGAATTCAAGTAGAATGAGGTCTTGAGTATCTATTAAGAATGAAAGTTAGCAAGAATGACCTAAGAAGTTGTCTCATTAAAGCAAAATTTGTACCGCTCTTCACCTAATGTTGACTTAACCTTGGATTTTATTTAGATTTATTCATTTCATTCAATGTCTTATTCCTCAGATGACCTAACAGAATTATCAATACATACTCAACTCTCCTTATCTAATGATCTTCATTTGTTGCATAAACTTATATAAAACACAAATGTGACTGGAGTTTTGTAGGGTATGATTACTTCACCACATTTTGTTACATTTTCTTTGATAGCCTTCAAGCTTCCACCTTTCATAAATATTTTCTAACATGGTTGCAACAATTTTACTCTAAAATATTATTTCTGCAGTCATGTTTCAATATTCAGATATAGTTTGCAATAGAGGTCATTGTAGAGTATTTCAGTCTTATATTAAAGAATGTTTCAGTGGTTAGGACTCTCGCCGACCATGCACATGGTTCGGGGTTCGATTCCCTGCCGACGCACACCCGATATCTATGGTCAGCCTGTAAATTTGGGCTACCAATATCCAAGCTGAAAATTCCATACTTGTACTGAAAATACGGTGTGGAATCAAGCTGTAATCCAAATAAAAAATAAATAAATAAATTTAGAGAACTATTACGGATCAGAGAGTATCGGATGGTTGTTTCGCCCTTGTTCGAGGCTCTTCACTGTGCGTACCCACAGTCCCACGACCTTCAGGCTACAGGACGAACTCGTAATGTATTCAGCCACTTCTACAGAATCCGCTCTTCTATCATTTCTAACTTCTACCAATTCGTGGCATAACTCTGCTTTTTGTAGTATAATTTGAACAACCTGAAGTTTATAAAAATCTCATCATCTAATGTATACAC